ATATCCCAAGCCTCAATTTTGATTTCAATAANGTGAGGAATTATGAAAATCACAATTGATAGTTCCTCCGGGGGTTGAAATTTCGAGGGTAAACTACAGCTGTAAAGACTTCATTTTTCAAAAAACAAAAAACTATGATTCAGAATTTTATGAAACCAACTGCGTTGGATGGAACATAGAAAAATGCGGAATGCCTGTTTTTGGTTTTGCCCTAGAACTGCAGTTTTCTAGGGTGAAAAAAATAATTTCCTGGCAACATCATCCACCAAGGTGGTGGGGTTATTTATTCATTCCAGTGAGGTACTGTATAGCTTGTGAGAAATCGTGAGAATATCCAATAATAGTTCCTCTCGGGGTTGAAGTTGACGGGGTGGAGTACCCCCGCGAAATAATATTTTTTTATCAAACAACTATTGGCTTTCACGGAAATGATTGCATCGGAAGAGATATGAAATAATACAGTATCCCTTTTTATGAAAGAATAAAATTGGATTCCAGATATCCCAAGCCTCAATTTTGATTTCAATAATCCGCACGTGAAAATGATATTTTTCCAAAATTCGGCGATAAACGAATAACGATAAAAATAGATCAAAGAAAAAATTCTCTGGAACAAAATTTCCTTTTTTTTCAGGTACAGCAACAGGGTGGTTCTATTTGAAAAAAAAGCAGTGACGAGTACGAAAAAAAATTTGCTAAATAATCGGAATTTTTCCATATCGTTCAACAAATGATTGAACTTGTTTTTTTCATATTTCGGAGGAACCGGGGTAATGGTTCTAAGAGACTTCATTATTATGGTATATATGTGATGATAACACACTGCTGAAAGCGATAATAAATCCAAACAAAATGCAAATAGTCGTACACGCGTCACCTATATCCAAAAATAAGTAATCCATCATGCAGTAATCATGTATTATTGATAACCCTGAATATTATTCACTTCCATTTTGCGCAGCGTTCAGTTTACGTAAACACATCACGGCAAAACTGTCTCTCGTTAATCGTATATTCCGAATTCTTTCCATCATGAGATTCAATCCTATAAACGTTATTAAGATCCTCATGGCAACATTTGAAGTGCTGAATCTTGGCGAAACCCCTGTGACTAATGAAGAACGAGAATTGGCAACTCATTTCGAGAATATATTGCAACGAACTATGGAGGAATATAATGGGGTGGAAATTATTGAAGAATCAACTCTTGATTTCCAAGAGCCATACAAAGACATCGAAATGATACCAATTGAGGATACAGAATTCCAACCACATCATAAAGAATCATCTGATAGTTGTTCAGAGGATGAGGAACTTGTAGATTATGACTATAAAAATAGAGCAGTCGAATACTGGAGGAGTGCAAAAACAAAGAAAAATCTATCTATAAAAACTGTTTCCAATAAATTCAAAAGAGTGAAATCGGTCCAGCAATTACGTCGTTGGGCACATCAAGTCAATAAAGGAGGAACTTATATGGAAAAGTCAAACGAATATCAGAGTACACGTTGAAAAATATGGAAAATGCTATCGATGCGGGGCTAATTGTTCATGATGCCGACCTACGAAAATGGGCTCTGCAAGCTCAACGAGATATTGGATATCAAGATATTCGTTTCAAGGCCTCGGCATGGTGGCTACATTACTTCAAAAGAGCTCATCGCGCAAGATTACTAAATGCGTCACACGTAAAACAATGGAAAATCAAAAAGATTTACAAATAGCAGCGGACGAATTCCTGCAACAGATCAAACCGTATTTTGAGATTTTAGGCTTGCAAAACATCTACAATTCTGATCCNAAAACATCTATAATTCTGATCCGAGTGGTTTCCAATTGGAAACGCATTCGGGGCGAACTTTGGCGGAAGAGGGCTCTAAAGAAGTCTCATGCATTGTATAATCTGTAACATCAACGACACACAGTTATACCATACAACCCACCATATCAGCAGATGGGAAATTATTGTCACCTCTCTTTATTGTTTACAAGGAACCTTCCGGAACGTTTGGTCCAAGGGTTCAAGAAAATTTATTCAGACCTCCCAATATTTACATAACGGCTTCAAAGTCAGGGAAATTGAATATTTCAAACTTAAGATGTAACAAACTTATTTGTACTGATTGTAATGTTCATCCCATTGCAACTATTCCAGAGCACTTTGAAATTTGGCTGGAAGAAGTATTCTTTCCAAACGTGGAACCAAAAGTCTACTGTTAATCGATTCATGGAGTGGACATTGCTGTCAAGTGATAGAACAGGCAACTCCTCGGAATAAAGAATTATTAACTATGTTAATCCCCAAAGGAACTACCGGAAAAATTCAACCTCTTGATGTGTACGGCTTCAGGATTTGGAAAAATTACATCCGTCATTTTTCAGATACGGTTGTTCTCTTAAATCATGATATTAATTTGCATGCGCGGAATAATGTGATCAAATTGCAATCTTTAGTCCATAATCAATTATCATCACCGAGGTATTAAAACCTATTTTGTTACGCTTGGTTCCAGAGTGGCTACATCGCTAAAAAACCAGAGGAATTTGATAATCCTGTCGATTTTGCGTTTGGACAATCTTCTCATCCAAAATATGAAGTTGATGGTTGTTCTAATGTTGCGGTAGTTAGATGCTCGTGGTGCAGAAAGTCTCTCTGCATGCACCATTTTTTTGATGAATATCATTTCTGTACTAATTATGTTCCCCAATAAACTATATATACATATATATATTTTGAATAATTCATAGTTTTCGACAAAATCAAACTTGCGCCTCTGAAAATTTTATTTTCGAGCAAAAAAATGAAAAACCAGTTTCCGCATTTTTTTTGCATCGGGTGCTCTTCCTACTAGGCTATCCGGCCCCTAGCTGCATTTTTTCATGTTTTTTTCGAATACTATTGGTTTTATGCAAATTTGAACAATATTTTTTTTTTTGCTGAAAGACAATTTTCATGAGGGTAGTGTAATGTCCAAAATTTTGTAATAGGAATTTAAGATTAGAATAAATTTTATGTAAGATTATAATTATAAGTTATATTATAATTTCAGGCAATTAAGAACCAAATCCACAATTGTAAATTAAACTGAGTGCATTTCATCACCTGGAGTCAATTGAAAATTCCAAAGACACCANTGAAGAAATTACGGATTTACCCAGGGATCTACAAGCACATCGAATAATTTATAAATAACAGACCGAATTGTGAGTGACAAAAATTTGTAAACCTAAATTTGAATCCTTCAGATCATTCCAGAGATAGGAATTTTAGCTACATAGATTTCTGTAAAATCACGCTCATGTTTTTGTAAACCGAATAGTTATACCAAATATATTTAAATTCAAATTTGATTCCCATTACAACTCCAAATTTCTTGATTAGAAATTAGTCTCAACTCAAGCCCTATCCCTAAATCAAACCCTTTTCCTTTATATTTTAGAAAAAGGTAAGAGTATAAAACTTTGCGTCGTCCAATAATTATAAAATTCAATAATTTTAGTTTTGATTTTAATGTGACAATTAAAACATGTCCATTCGACGCTAAAATCCTTCTCTGGACATAACAGTAGTTAACCCCCAAATTTGAAACCTCAGAGTGAGTAGTGATTGTGATTTCCATAATTCCTCTCCAGCTATTCATCAGTTGGATAAATTGAATAAATAACCCCACCACCTTGGTGAATGATGTTGCTGGGAAATTATTTTTTTCACCCTAGTAAACTCCAGTTCTGGGGAAAAACCAAAAACAGGTATTCCGCATTTTTCCCAGTTCCATCCAACGCAGTTGGTTTCATAAAATTCTGAATCATAGGTTTTTTTTTTTTAAATGAAGTCTTTACAGGGCTAGTTTACCCCCCAAATTTCAACCCCCGGAGGAACTATCAATTGTGATTTTCATAATTCCTCACGAGCTATTTATTCCCATAATGAACATTTAATAAAATTCCCTTCTTATAGGTGGAATTAAAAATCACCCCCAAAAGTGGTCACCTTCTGACTATGGTTTCCCCCCTTAAAACTGCATATCCGCCGATAAAAAAAAATACGTATCGCTTAGTTTTGCGTCCTCTACAACATATATGAGTATCATTGAAATCGGAGGGGAACACCTCCCTAGTGTTCCTTGTGAGTGTCCATCAGCATCTTATCGTTGTTTTTTGATGGTCTTTGTAATTCTCCCATCGTCACAGGACTATGTGATTGAAGACTTGTTTAGAGTCGCCCCTAATGGGCTAAACTCGCTGTAACGTCGAATGTGTCAAGTCGTGATGTCGCGAGAGACTTCACGAGACAGTACGTTGGACAGGTGGTCTCGGTCTCAATGAACATGGAAATCTTTGGTCTCGTTTCAGTCTCGAAAAATGGAGCATCGACTCCTCTCGTGATGACTGAGTCAATTTACCTCATCTCGGTCTCAAGTTTTTCACTTTTTTCAATGTAAAATTTGGTTTTTATCTTGGTTTGTCTCGCCTCGGGCTCATACATATAAAAAATGCGAAAAACTGGAAACCGAGTTGAGATGAATTGGTTCGCAGTCGTCACGACAGGAGTGATGCTGCATATCTCGAGACTGAGACGAGACCGAAAATTTTCGTGTTCACTGAGACCAAGACAATCCCTGCAAAGTATCGTCTCGTGATGTTTCGTGAAGTCTCTCGCAGCATCACTAGTGTCAATGCTATCGGTTTTACTATACGCACTGTAAACGGTTCGCGTAGCGAGACCGAAACACATCTTGCCTCTACGAAGGTTCAAACGAGACTCCATTGAGTCCCTTAACTGCAATTTTTATTCCCTCAATTTGTCCCTGAGACTGACGACATTGAAATCAAAATATGACCGAAATACTTTGATAAAACCAATTAAACATGATAGATGAATTCATATAGAATAAATCGATAAATGAACACAATTGATTCAATCTCTAAATCGATATGACAAAAAATTTGTGAAATAAGCTAGATAGTAAATTGAGAGAGCAGTACGTATTACCCAACAGGACTACTTCAAGAGCCAAAAGGAGTCACGAACGTGTCTAGTGTGCTATGCTCAGGTGGAGCCCTCATCCTTCACGAAAATCGATCAGACAGGCAAACCCAGACCAGCTGTGAGAATACTTAATGTACCAGTGATACTGCGGTACGATATGAACAACGACGAAGCTCCGAATAATCAAAAGAAGACGGAATTATGTGGGTATCCACACCTGGTGAGACTGCCTTCAAGGGTAAATGCTAAGAACCTTCACGAGGTTTTCAAGAGGATCGTGCCACAGGAGAAAAGCTATACGATTCATTTCGTCGATGGCCAGGTGAATATTATTATAATGTACGAAGTTGATGAAATACGGTGGAATACAGTCCGTATACATATATATATACTCTTTATTGTAGTTGAAAAAATTATCTTTTTTTTCACATTTGCTTCTGGAATTCCTTTTCTTTCAAGTCATAGAACTTTTATATTATTGTACTTAATTTACATGTTGCTTTGTGTTGATATACTTGATACACAAATTAATAATAATAAAAATATTTCAAATGCTTTTTTTTCGCGATGTCTGAGTTCAGTAAAGTAAAAAAAATTGGCCAACATATATGTGTTTTTCAGGGTCACCACTGCTCGCGATGTATGTATAATACCCACTGTACTGGCTGCCCTGTCCCAGAAACTGGAATGGTATCCCTACAGACTAGTGATACGTTAGCAATTCGGTATACAGATAATATTCCGAAAATACCACCACCAAGAGATCACGTCAGTGTTAGCAAACAACGTCCACCACATCCTTTATCTCTCTACGACTGTTTGCAGGCATTCACTCAAAGGTTTGTCTCTTCTTTGATAGTTGTTCAAGCACGTAAAGTTTGTATTAGTGGATTGAATCTGTTAGTCAGAATAAAGGTAACTGAGAAGTATTTTGTTGGTTACTCAAATCGATGAAAATTGAAAAGAAAAAAAATAATCATCTGATTGGCTTTTTGATTTCAAAACAAATTTTCAAAAGACCTTTTTTAAGATTAATTTCATCGGAATTGTCTTTCAAGATCCATCTTTCCTGAAATTGATGAATAAACAAGAAATGACCTTACTATTTGGCTACTGAAACTGCTGATTAATTATTGGAAAACCATTTTCATTTCTTTTCCATCTCCAAAATAATTAAGGCCTGCATAGAGGGATTTTCATACCACATGTCCCTAGTAAATTCCGTATAAATTCCTATTGAAATAACATTTTACTGGATTACAAATTACGACTTTACAATGTCATGAAAAAATCCACTTTATGGCTCAAAAAATAGATAATTAATTGCGCCGGGGCTATAATTAGATCTGGAGGGGTGGGGGTGAAATAGACAATTGATTGAAAATCAATTGCCTCATGTCAGTTCGTAATACCTATCATGAAAAAATAATCTCCTATTCCACTCATTATAGACGAATCCGTGCATAGAAAATGTGCACTGATGTATTTTTTGTACACGGCATTTGTTTCTTATTTGAGCTAAGAAATCGTGGTGTAATTCACACGTATTTTTTAAATACCGATCTTCATGGCCGCGCCGATAATGTCGTTCGGTTATAACTCGTTCTCATGAAAGTCATCAAAACTCAGAATTTTCTGGTCTTCGCTGCGTCCCTCCATTCCACTTTGATCTACGTCCCCTATACATGTATTCAATCATTTTTCTGTTGACATTATCTAACCAATACTAATTCCCTTATATCAATTGCAGACTTTCCCCATTCATAAATTTTTCCACAACTACATTCAACAATTCCGCAAGCTGAAAATTTCTTAAAAAATACATAACTTTTCCCATTTTGCTTCCGAATGAAAACATTGCAATGCTTTGATTTTCACATTTTCGAATTTTGATTGGAAATGATGTAGAATGGTCTGAAACGTAAAAATACGAAGTTGGCGACCATGTCTGTATGTGACCATGTCCTATGTGACCATGTCCGCTGCCACCTTCCCGGTGGTCTATTTTTAGGAAATTGAATAATTAAGTGAATAAAATAGTTGCAAAAAAAGAAAATTTCGTCAGATTATATGTCTCAATGAGGACTAACTTTGTGCAAAATTTCCACCCGATCGATCTAAGAGTTTTGGAGAAAAAGCGATTCATTTTTAAATTGTTTTCCGCAAATATCTTCAAAACTAGTGGACCGATTTCGATTTTTTTATTTCAAAATATTTGACTCGATGCCTTCTATCCAAATCACTCAAAACATATATACCCGTTCATACAAATTTTTCGAGATATTCCCGTTTTATCAAAAAAAAAATTGTGATCACTCTAGCTTGTGCAAAAATCGAGATATCAACTTGAAATTTGAATAGAAAATATGTATACCCGCTCATACGAAGTATTCGAAACATTGGAATTTTAGATAGCACCCATGGAGCTGGCAGTAATCATCTGAAATTTTTGCTGCTAGTCAGTGTTGTGAAACTATAAACTTTTTTAATAATTCAGACCATTCGGAAGCCTGCCATCAATGTATTGATGGCGAAAAAGTATAAGACAGCATTCAGTGACATGCTCACTGTCACATAGCGCGCTGTCGTATGCTCGCTGTCCCCTGCTTGTCTTTTTTTTAAATAGAAAACTCAAGAATTTTGTGAAGTGGGCGTAAAAATCCGACAAATTTTTCAAAGGTTTTAGAATTGTCACGTGACACAGGAATTTCACAATTTCACAAATTAGTGTGTTCATAGACTGAGAATGTGAACTGATGAATATTTTTGTGAATTATTTGCTCGTTCCTAATTTCACGCTAGAAATAAGTTTTGAAAGTTGCGCCCATTTTTTTCAATGCCATTTGTCGGTGTTTTCGCCGAAGCTCGTCCTCATCCGAGATATTTCGAGTTCGACCTTTTTCAATTCGAGTTTTTCGCTTTGTATCTTTTTTGATAAAGGAAAATCAATATTCTAATAAGCCATGGCTTACAATACGTTACTACCGGGTTATTGGAGTGGACTATAGGAGTGAACTATCGACAATATATATTGATGGAGAAAGAATTGAGAATGCAAAACGTACTATGTGCTGTATTCAGTAGAATCTTTGATGCATATATTTATTTCTATGAATAAAGGAATAGTTGAAATAAAATCTTTCCGGATAATTACTTTCGAAAATACCGAAAATTTGAGCATGGACACCTGTATCGAATATTCTTAAGGAAGTACCTATAAATGCTCTATGGGTGTTATAAAAATTCCAATGTTTCGAATACTTTGTATGGACGTGGAGGACATTGAGATGAGTATTAAAATAAGCAGGGGGCTGCGAGCCTACGACAGCGAGGATATGATAGTGAGCATGTCACTGGGTGATGTTTTAATGCTTTCTTTGTCATCAATAAATTGATGGTATGCTTCCGAATGGTTTTAGCATAATAAATTTTGTTCGCTCTCACATATTTTTCCCTATTTTTGCAATTTGTGGCTTTCTCGCCCCCCATCCAAACTCTTTACAACCTCCTGCATCGCATTCGCGAAAAGTTTGAAGAAAACCTCAGTTAGGGGAAATTAGAAAATAGATTTAGATACAAACTTGAGTATCGCCTGAACGAACCATTCGATTTAGCTCATTTTCAATACGAAACATTTTGGTGCAAAGAGGAAACTTCATGCCAAATTTCAAGTTAATATGTCGGTTTTTCAAAAATTTCGAGTGCTAACAAGGATTGTGAGCGAAAAACCGAAAAATGGAAATATTTCAGAAACTTTGTATGAATGGATATACATATTTTGATTGATTGAAATAGGAGACATCGAGACAAATATTTTGAAAAAAAAATTGAAATCGGTTAAGTAGTTTTCGAGATATCCAAGAAAACAGATTTAGATACACACTTGAATATCTCCTAAACTAACCATCTGATTTAGCCCATTTCCAATACGAAACATTCTAGTGCAAAAAGAAAACTTTGTGCCAAATTTCAAGTTGTATATCGATTTCTGCAAAAATGAGTGTTAACAAGAATTTTGAACGAAAAACCGAAAAATGGAAATATCTCGAAAACTTTGTATGAACGGGTATGCATATTTCGATGGATTGAGATAGAAGACATGGAGACGAATATTTTGAAAAAAATTGAAATCATTTGAGTACAGGAAGTACAAAAGAATTTTCATGAAAAATACACAATGGGCTGTCTACCACTCTATTGCTTCACATGACAATGGTGACAATTCGTAATTAGTATCATAAAAGTTTTGTCGGTTCGCGCATGAGGTCTAATCATTGTGTTCCAACATAATGAAATGCCAATTTCGTAGAAAGAATGGTACCACATTCTCAATTGTTGCAAATAATTATTTCTCATTATCTCTTGCGCGAAGCATTCGATAGAATGGATTATTGGAAGGAAACCTCAATCGTACGAAACTCTATGGACAAAAAAATCTTGTTACCTGAATTACAACTATCATGAATTGCATTTTTGAGATTTTTTATGATTTACTTCTGCTTTATGCATTTCTCATCATAACCAGAATAACTTGATAGAGTCAGATTGTGTATAAAATGTTTAGAAAAATTCACTTGAGCAGTATTTTGAATAGACATCCTTTGTCAAATTGAATAGTCCGACAATATGCAATGAATTACAAAATGCAGAGAACAAAGATTGGCAGTATAAAAGAAAGTAACTAGGAAAATTAGTCTAATTCATCGACTGAAAAACATTCCATTTAGCACACCGAGAGAAATATCATAATATTGGTGTATTCGATGAAAGAAGACGGGACAGAATGAATAAATGGTTGGGGCGGTTTTATTTGATAAATCGTAAAGAGTAGTACAGGACGAAGATGTCTTGAGACCGATCTCCACCAAAAATAAACGAATGTCGAAGTTGATGAGATGACTATCGTTACAAAGGGGGCTTCTCTCGATGTCCAGATCATAGATAAAAGAATTAGAAATTCGAAGGGGGATACGCAACAATATCATAAAACGAATTTCTTGTGCCAAATATCTCATCTCTTGAGGATAAATTTTGTTAGGCTAAGAATTCCGGATAATGTGTCAGACAATGTCAGATTTCGGTGAAGTGTTTATGACTTGAACATGAACATGTCATGATAAAGTGATAATTTCTTGCCACAAGAAATCCGTTTTTTCGTGTCAGAAGATGAGAAAATGACTAAAAATATTAAAAGCTTCGATTTAGTGAAACATGAATCAGAGACTTCGATATTGAATGAATAGAAAGTTTATACAGAGGAAAACTTCCAAATTTTGAAAAGATATAACCGTTGTTTACGCTCAATCGCGTGGAGTTTGAAGGGAAGCAATATCTTATTTTCCTTCTGTCAAACTATTCTTGTCTTTGAAGGAATATTATCTCATTTTGAAAAAAGACATTATCTTTTCATTCTTCTTTGTTAGCCCGAAGAGCACCGATTTCTTGTCTGAAACCTACTGTAAATTGATCAAACATGTATGCGATGTTTTTCGCTCAAGAAATGATTTTTGTGACATTATGTCGATTTTTCACTTAGTGCATGTAATAATAACACTATGTATGCTTAAAGATAATCGCGGATATTTTTTGTATCGGTCATTTATCTACGCGAGATATTCAATTTTCGGAATATAGGGATAATGGTCTTCTGTAATTCGAACAGTTGACAATTCTGATGAATGAATCCCGTTGCACTCGACCCCAAGCCAAAAATCCCTCCATGCGGGCGTCAATGGTTTTATGAATTCCACAGAATAATATGGCCTTGTTATAAAATGATAAAAATTCGAAATTATGAAAAAATAAGGAAGGGTTCAGTCTTCAAATATTGATTAACCGTACTTTTTGCCAATTTTCAGTGAGATATTGGATGAACATAATCCTTGGTTCTGTCCTAAGTGTGAGAGGAACCAGTGTGCCACCAAAACTCTCGCTGTTCATCGGTATCCCAAGTACCTCATAGTGTATTTGAAGCGGTAAGATCAGATTTTCTATTTTTTGTGATTTTAACCTTCATTTTCTGCATTATTCTTATGCCTCTATTACTTTAAATATTACAGATTTGTATTCCACGAATGTGTCAGCATGAAATTGGAAGACAAAGTGACTTTTCCTCTGGTTGGACTGAGTGTGGGGCGACATTTGTATGATCTCTACGCTTGTGTTTGTCATTTTGGAGGTATAAATCCTAATCATCTGATGAAATTGAATGACTATCACAAGTCAAGTTTCTGTCAAGTTTTAAATTTCAGCAATGATCTTTCTATTCAATTAGGTGTTTCAGCTGGGCATTACACTGCGTATGCGAAAAATCCACGCACTGATTGTTGGCATCACTACAACGATGAGGTCACCAGTAGACAAAAGCCCCAGGAGGAGGACTTCAGTAACGCCTATATCCTGTTTTACAACCGACAGGGGACCAACTCAAAGCCGTGTAATATATAAGTCGCACACGTGGTTACGTCAGGAAACTTAGAAAAACAAAATAAGTTCAATAAGCATGAATGAAGAAAGAAGAGAATTGAAATAGCGAGAAAAGGTCTATTTGGGATCATTCTGCATTCGCTTCTTAATGTTTTTTCAACTCAAGCAAAATAGACATTTTAATTAAAACCATTGCCACTGAAGTGATAATTTCCGAAACAAACGAGAAAAAAACGTACGAACTCGGAAAAATTGAAATGATTGTTTTTTATCCATTTTTTTATTTAAAAAAAAGGAACTAACGATAATCGAATCTGAAAACTATTGTTATCGTTGTGAAATGTGAAAATGTGCAGTTGTGTTATATTAATTAATTTTTTTTTTATTTATGAGCTCAAAGCAAAAGATGAAAGAACAAAAAATGAAATGTCAGTTTTTTTTTTATTAAATAACATTTCTTCTTCATGTAACTAGTGATAAAGAGTGAGAGTAATTGGAGGAGAAATTGGAGTCTTAGTAATGAAATGATGTAAATCGGCAGTCTTGATATTGAAATGGAAAAAAATGCGTAAAAAATCTGACAATTAATATTGATAAAGGAATTTATAAATGACTTGCTCGTTACCCCTGTGACAACTTAAGTTCGTACTCCGAAATCAAGCCTGGAACCGATATAAATTATTAGGAAATTGAATAAAAAACAAACAGAGAGAATATAATAATTCAAAACTTGTTATTTCATTTTAATCTTTTGAACCTTTATAATTGTCAACTCTGCATCTGAATTCTATGAAAAGACCATATTAAGGCCCGGATGGCGGTTTCAGCACCCCCTTCACCTCACCCCCCGCTGTTTCCAATCATCTAGATATGGTGGATAATGGTGGATGAATACCTGCACTTGTTATTTATTTCATACACAAAAGAATAAATAACTCCCGGACAACGAAGTCAAGCGACAATTCTACATCATTATTCTATTTTTTAATTGCACTTTCATTGTGATCTGGCGGTCAGTTGTTTTGTCGTCACACTGGGACACAGATAATCTTTTCAGATTTGACCGCCCTCACCATGTACGGCAACACTATTCAATTTTCCATGAGAAATCGAAAAAATTGATATTTTTATAAAATCGATTTTTCAACGATCAATCAAGAAATTGTCATCAAAATGGAATTAGTCATGGTTCAGAAAATTGATAACAATACCCTTTTGATTCTATCAAAATATGATGAGCTACAGCACATTGTTTATACGATTTGACAAAGAAAATCGACTCTTTTTTCGTGTCTCGTGTCTGTAAATTTGTATGGGGCAGAGGATCCCCGGGTTCGTGCCTTGTATCTCGTGACCAGAAAAAGTATGAGACGAACGACCATCGGGCACGTGCCGCGTACCTTGTCCTTCGTCCTTTGTGTCTCATGGGACTTGTTTCGTGACTGGGAACTTGTATGGGACGGAGGATCACTGAGCTCGGGCGCCTCGTGCCTCGTATTTCGTGCCTCGTAACTCGTGTCTCGTGACTCATGTCTCTTGACTGGACAAATGTATGGGACGAACGATCCTCGGTCTCGTACCTCGTGTCTCGTAACTTGTGCCTCTTGACTCGCGTATGGTGATTAGACTAGGAATAACACAGTCGTTGATAAGAATGTTCGATACAAATACTTAAAGTGTCCTTTTGACAAGTACGATAGTTTGTACTCGTCTCCGGCGAATACAATTTTATCTACTCCCCGAAAAAAACTTCATGCACTAGTGTCGAAAACTATTTGTCGCGTGGAAGGTATGTAGCGCTCTTTGAAGGCAAGTGGTGTCCTCCCATGAGTCAAGGAACACTTTTCCCAATAGCATCGGATCCTATTTTTCATCACGATGCATGTGAAGTGGGGTTTGCGCATGCAAAGCATGCGTAAATCTTCACTATACACACAGCATGACAAAAAATTGGTTTTGTGCTTAGTAGAGAAGGAAATTCCCTCCTGTATATTAGGGCAGTTCCACCTCCACTGGGCGTCTCACCGTAGCTGCAGCCGTGGATTCGTAGTGATTTTAAAGTATCGACTACTGGGATTCACTTTGATAAGTGTCGAACTGAAAAATTTCATTTCAGGAATTAAACTAAGAGAACGGAAAATCGATTTGCTGAAGAATTCTCCGTAGGCTTGATTTTGTGAGACTCGAAAATAACCAGTTATAATTTAACAAGTCCACCGGTCACTCGTGGTTTGAGGTTCTTGCATTATGCATACTTCCTATATAGGAAGTATTTACTTTCTGTGATCTCTTTCCTCAAATTTCAACTGAAATCTGGCCGACTTCTTTAACACTTGCAGGTTCCACAGCCACATATTTTTAAGGGTAACCAAAAAGTCCAAACTTTCGATGCACACAAAAAGTACTCACATTTCAATTTTTGTAAGTAGACATTTGTCCTTTTTTTTCCACATTCGATCTTTGGTTTTCAATAATTCCTCCATTCAATGCTTTCTCACACTGTGCTCCATAACAGTAACAAAAAAACTAGTGTAAAGTTTAGAGTAAATCTACTGATTATAAATCTCTCTTTGATAATTTTGCTACAGTCTTATACAGTGAATGATCTGAATGTTTGGAAACGACTAACTTCCTGAAATTCTGAACGATCGCTCTTCATGTGCCATATCTTATCTTTCTTCTGAAAGAGGTTTAAACAAATGGGTGGATGACAGAATCCTCAAACAGAGAAATAAAAATAACAAGTTTCACCTTTGCATTTCTTCGAATAAATTCATTGCTAAGTATTCATCTTTGTATACAAAATCATCAGCATCTATTTCATTAGATTTTTGACAATTTTCTTGCGTCGATTTGTTCAGTGATAGAAAAAATGTTAACTAACTGCCTGCCAATCAACTCTATCCTCCAGGAAGGCTCTCAATAATCCCAACTCGATCAAATAAATTTAAACGGTGTATTGTGAATATTAATGAATAAAAAAATACAATTCTATGGTCCCGACAATCTCTTACACTTCTCTCTGTATCGACTCTCTGCTGTCACCGTCTATTCTCTCCTCTCTCTTCTAAATCTATCCTACTCTCTTCCTTACTTACATACTCTTACGTATATGTTTATGAGTCTATCAAGAGAAAGAAATGATGAGGTATCAAAAGTTGACACAGCCCAAGCATCACAATCGAATTTCGTCAATTGCAATGAAAAGAGGAAGTTTTTCACGAATTTATTATAATAATTTTTAATTTATCTCATTTCATTTTTTTTTGTTTTTTATGGCTGTGTCAAGTTTTTATCAAGCTGACACAGCCCACCATAAATGAGAATAGATTGTGTTTTTCTGGGGATTGAAATGTGAGCAAACTCAAAAATGAGGAGGGAGAGTTTGCTCAACACTCATCGTTAACAAAAAAAATCATTTATGTGAAAATTTGGAGAGATCGGTTGAAGCAATTGAGAACATGTTTTTTTTTGGAAATGNACACAGCCCACCATAAATGAGAATTAATTGTGTTTTTCTGGGGATTGAAATGTGAGCAAACACAAAAATGAGGAGGAAGAGTTTGCTCAACACTCATCGTTGGTCAAAAAAATTATTTATGTGAAAATTTGGAGAAATCGGTTTAAGCAATTGAGAACATGTTTTTTTTTAGAAATTCTGGAATGTAAACAACCTCAAGAATATGATGCAGATGACCCATGACTTATTCATTAAGTTCGCTCACCCCCCCGGATTGATACATAAAATTATATTGCAGCGTATTTTCGTGATTTGGAGCCTGAGCAAACTTGATAACATGGTGGAGCTGACACATGATTCGCTCATGGAGTTTGCTCACACCTCATTATTGATAAATAAATTTTCTTTCCATAAGGGAAGTCAGGATGGTTTTTGTTTCAATTTACAAGTGTTTATTTTGCTGTTTTCAAGAGTGAGCAAACTCGATAACATAATGGAGGTGACACATGATTCACTCATGGAGTTTGCGCACCTCTCATTATTGATAAATAAAATGATGGATCAAAAAATGTAGCGTATTTTCGTGATTTGGAGCCTGAGCAAACTCCATGACATAATGGAGGTGACACATGATTCGCTCATAGAATTTGCGCACCCCTCAGTGTTGATGAATGAAGTGCCGGATCGAAGATATAGCGTATTTTCGTGATTTGGAGCCTGAGCAAACTTGATAACATGGTGGAGGTGACACATGATTCGCTCATGGAGTTTGCTCACCCCTCATTATTGATCAATAATTTTTTTTTGCATAAGGGAAGTCAGGATGGTTTGTTTCAATTTATAAGTGTTTATTTTGCTGTTTTCAAGAGTGAGCAAACTCGATAACATAATGGAGGTGACACATGATTCACTCATGGAGTTTGCGCACCTCTCATTATTGATAAATAAAATGATGGATCAAAAAATGTAGCGTATTTTCGTGATTTGGAGCCTGAGCAAACTTGATAACATGGTGGAGCTGACACATGATTCGCTCATGGAGTTTGCTCACCCCTCATTATTGATAAATAATTTTTTTTTGCATAAGGGAAGTCAGGATGGTTTTTGTTTCAATGTACAAATTTTTATTTTGCTGTTTTCAGGAGTGAGCAAACTCGATAACATAATGGAAGTGACACATGATTCGCTCATGGAGTTTGCTCACCCCTCATTATTGATCAATAATTTTTTTTTGCATAAGGGAAGTCAGGATGGTTTGTTTCAATTTATAAGTGTTTATTTTGCTGTTTTCAGGAGTGAGCAAACTCGATAACATAATGGAAGTGACACATGATTCGCTCATGGAGTTTGCTCACCCCTCATTATTGATCAATAATTTTTTTTTGCATAAGGGAAGTCAGGATGGTTTTTGTTTCAATGTACAAGTTTTTATTTTGCTGTTTTCAGGAGTGAGCAAACTCGATAACATAATGCAGCTGACACATGATTCGCTCATGGAGTTTGCTCACCCCTCATTATTGATCAATAATTTTTTTTGCATAAGGGAAGTCAGGATGGTTTGTTTCAATTTATAAGTGTTTATTTTGCTGTTTTCAAGAGTGAGCAAACTCGATAACATAATGGAGGTGACACATGATTCACTCATGGAGTTTGCGCACCTCTCATTATTGATAAATAAAATGATGGATCAAAAAATGTAGCGTATTTTCGTGATTTGGAGCCTGAGCAAACTCCATGGTATAATGGAGGTGACACATGATTCGCTCATAGAATTTGCGCACCCCTCAGTGGTGATGAATAAACTGACGGATGAAAAGATACAGCGCATTTTCGTGTTTTGGAGCCTGAGTAAACTCCATGACATAATGGAGGTGACACATGATTCGCTCACAGAACTTGCGCACCCCTCAGTGTTGATGAATAAACTGACGGATGAAAAGATACAGCGCATTTTTATGTTTTGGAGCCTGAGCAAACTCCATGACATAATGGAGGTGACACATGATTCGCTCATGGAATTTGCGCACCCCTCAGTGTTGATGAATCAAGTGCCGGATCGAAGATATAGCGTATTTTCGTGATCTGGAGCCTGAGAAAACTTGATAACATGGTGGAAGTGACACATGATTCGCTCATGGAGTTTGCGCACCCCTCATTATTGATAAATAAAATGATGGATCAAAAAATATAGCGTATTTTCGTAATTTGGAGCCTGAGCAAACTCCATGATATAATGGAGGTGACACATGATTC